TCTTTAAAACATTTATCAGCATCTCACAGCACTTGGTACTGAAGAGTTAGCTGAAAGGCTGCCTAGACAAGTTGGTAATCTTCAAGGCAAGGGAAGCATAAAAAAACCCCACACTCCAGGCAGGTTGTAGAGGGTTAAGGATTTGCAGGAAGAATGGTGATTTATGAATGGTCTTCCCTGGCACTAGAAACAGGAGACGGGGAGGAGAAAATGGAGCCACATTAGGAATGTCAAAAGCACCTGTGAGATGGGATGCTGTGTGGATGATGACCAGGAAGCCGCTTGATGTAAATATCTGTGAAGTGGTGAGGGGGCCTGTGGAGAACCACCCAGGGGCCCAATAATCTCGCGTGGCTTCACTCTGTTGTCTCTTTAGTCTCAGTTTGTTCTCAGTTGCACAGAAACACCCGAAGCTGATGATCAAATCTTTCAGCTACAAATCCATCCCACAGCGTAAAGATGGCCCGGCATATAAGTGTTCAGTTGCCTCTAAAAATAACATGCTACATTTCTCTTTCATTGAGAGGCTCTGTATAATAGTTTAAAACGCTAGCTAGTCAGGTTGGACTGACCTGTGTTTGAATCCCGGCTCTGTTTTACCAGTAGTGCAACATTGGATGAGATATATAATTTCTCTGGGTCTCAATGTCCTCATTTGTGCAGTGGAAGTTGTAATAGTATCTAATTAACAGGGTGATTATGGAGATTAAATGGGATAATGGGTAAAAAATACTCAGCATGGTGCCCAGCACACAGTAAATACATATTAGTTATTATTATTGAAATCTTGTGGATCGTTTTCTGGTGAGATAAATGGAGGAAGGAGAGTATAAACACAGAGAAAGAGAAAGAGATGAAGAGATGGCAAAGAGCGGCAGGCTGTTAAAAGCTGATCCTGGAAGAGAGGCACTTAATGACTGTCCAAGAAAACCTCCTGAGAGAGAAAAGGATGAAGATGGCAGGGACTCAAAGGCAGAGGCTCGGCTGTGTTTTTTGCCAAGGTTGCATCCATCTGGCCTTGGCTTCTCTGCTGGTTTTTTCCTCCAAATGACAGCTCTGGAAGCCCAGTGGTGACACCCAGGGCAGGGAGCTAGACCATCTTTGAATTACCCTAAACTTCGGTGCTCGTGGAAGGCATATAAGAAATGTACCTATTATTCTTTTGCAGTACAGAATTCCTTTGAGACTAACAGAAGAGACAGGCCTGTCAAGTAAGTCAGCAGTGACCACAGGCAGATATAATCCTATTGCTTTTTGGCTGACAGCTCACGCAGAGAAAAATACTCTCCGATGCAGACAAAGGTAAATGTAGCTTAAATCCCAACACAAAATTCTCCTCCGTGATCAGCTTCTATCCCAGTCTATGATGACCCTAGACACCAGACATATCAGAAAAACCGTCAATACATTTCTTACTGTTGGGTTGTAATAATTTAATCATTGCTGAAGGTAAAATGCTCAAAGGGTAGAATAACTCAGATTATTTTCAGGGTCTAAGCAAAAAAAAAAAAAGAAGGACAGAATGGTGACTTTCCTCAGATTTAATAGCACATAGTACAGAGGACCATCTGTTATAGGCGAGCATATAGAAAATGAACACAAACCTGAATAGGTTATGAAATATCTAGAAAAATAAGACAAGTGGTTAACCACATGATCTTTTCTTTTAAGTGAAGAATGGCTGGTCTGAATCCAGTCCTACGGCTTTTTGAATCCTAATCACCTACAGAACCCAGGCATACTTGCAGTTCTGGGATGGATTGGCACATGGTCTCTTCTACTGTGCCTTTACAGACACAATCATTGAAGAAGCTGAGTTGAAGCCTGAATCTGAATATCAGAATGTAGGGCACGCTGAAGAGGAAGATCAAAGGGCAATTTTACATTGCAAAAAATAGCTTGATGCTGAAGAATAATTGCTTTTATAAAATTAAACACAGACTGAAATCGCGTATTATGACCTACCCCATCTGTTCAGCATACACTCATAAATATACAGTACATATGTAGATACAAATACATATACTATATATATTTGTTTGTTTTTTAGGAAAGAAGAGAGACACGTTTATTTCACATTTTCGCTGAATTACTCCCTGAGATGCTCTGTCCTGGATCTCTGGGGTGGCTATGATTGGAATCTGTCTGCTCTTGTTTCTAACTTAAGCGCAGCATGGCTGACCTGTGCAGAAAGGTGACTTCCTAGACATAAGGGCACATTGGGACAAACGTGGGAAATGCACAGGAAACGCTCTCATTTCTGGCTTCAGACCTCTCCCTATATTTAGCACTTTCCTTTAGCCCACCCGAGGCTGGTGCTTCTTTCACCCGCCATGAGCCCTGCAGCTCCCAGGTTCCATGCTTCCTTGGATGGTGTTGCCGAGGCTGCTGCAATCCCAGCTCAGTGTTGCCGCTGCCTCACTAGTCACACTGCTCGCTGAATCACAAGCTTGATGTACAGCCCAGCGTGCGATCCAGAGAAAGAGAGACTTCTGTTCTCAGTGGGACAGAATATTTAAACTTAGGCCTCTGCTTTCAGATCTGGGACTCAATTTCGCCCTTTAGCGCTGTGTGTATCCATACCCCAAAGCAATTTTTCTTGGATGCATTTTGCTTTGAATTTGAAATATGCTTTTGATGCTTTTTATTTAATAAGGCACAGGCACAGGACTACATTCATTATTTAGACCAGAACTTATTTTGCACTTGATGTAAGAAAAAAACTGGCATGCTCATTCAGGGTAATTGCATAGAGTGAAATGAACCCAATTTACGTAAAGGATTATCGAAGGAATAGAAAACTTCCAAAGGAAGCCTGCTAAATCATTCATTCAGTAACTGATTGACATTTGCCCAGATCTGGGTCCTGTGCTTTGCCAGGTTTTAAAGCAAAGCAAAGAAGCAATTATTTAAAAGTGATGGTGAAAAGCAGTATTGAAAGACAGCAATCCTGGAGAGCGGATATATTTTAAGAGATAATTCTCTCTTAAATAACGTAATTCACAGACCATGGACCTAGGCCCCAGGAATCATCTTTCAGCCTACGTTTCCACCTGGCACCCTTCAATAGTCTACCATTAAAAGATATGTAAATGTAATGTAAATAGTGCCAACTACTTTTTAAAGAATAATTCTCTCTCATCCGTTTACAGATTTCTATTTTATTTTATGATTAAAATTTTGCTATGCATTAAATGGGTGCAGTTATGCTTACAGTCTAATTCCAGGAATCGAGCTCCTCTGAAACTATTTGTTTCTGTACATTTCCAGTTAATGTCTATAAATCTATCTGATACTAAAAAATCTGCTGTGAAGAAATTGTAAATCGAAGTCCTTTGCTTTGCTCTATACATAATAAGTCTAAGATTTATGGAGAGGCAACCCAACATTTTCATCAGCTATAATTGTTCTCTAGACTGAATAACGGAAACATTTCAGGCAATCAAAAAGCAAGTAGAAAAAAAGCCATCTTTAATTGATTCCTCAGAGGATTTTTTTCTAGATTGTAAATAATTTGTTCTCATGTTTTCTATTTGGCTGTTTCAGGAGCTACACAAATGGAATACAGGACATAGACAAATGAAATGCTAATAAGATGTAGGATATTAAAATACCCCTACTTTGCCTGTAGGCAAAGGCAATCTACTCTATCAGGGGAATAAAAGGAAACGTGAAGGAGGCATTTTCACCCTTGCAAAATGAGAGGCTTCATCTGACCTGGAGAGAGCCACTGGACAAGATGTCTTGTGACAGCGCCTGTAAGGAGGGGCTCTGAAATAGGAGCATTATACAGAACTCCAACCCGGAATGAACGTAGGAGCTCAGGAGTCAGAGTGCCCATTGACTCTGCCTCTTCTGGCTACAGGGTCTTCTGTGCAGCCTCTCAGCAATCAACATACCAGTGAGTCAACTCACACATCAGTATTTTCTGTTCTTTAGAAGCAATGACGGTATTTGCCACCAGTGAGAGCGATCTGTGTATTTTTGGAACAGCTTGACTCAACTGTACTAGACGTAAAAATGCAGTCCTGGGGTCTACTGATTGAAATCCCTTTAGTTTCTTATTTGAATACTTCCAAGCTTTGTAATTATGCTATTATGTACTTATGATCATAAGAAGTCAATTTTAAGCTAAATACTCTTTAGTACCCCTTTTCATATATATATTTTGCCCCATATATAAAGTTTGGGATAAAAAAGTTCAAGGAATGTGGGAAAATACAATAAATTGAAGGGTAGAACATTTTAAAAACCACTAATTTAGCTTGTTCAAATTTTTTAAGGTTTAGAAAATTTTTTAGTACTTTAAGGCATTTTAAGAATTATTATAAACCTCCTTTCAGAATATCTGTCCCTACTGGGATGAGATCACGTTCCTCAATTGTGAGCACACAGTAGGAGCTCAATAAGTCCTTGTTTAGACAATGAATGGCTATAAAGAGATACTTATGTTCCTCTTTTACCATAATAGGTAAAACCTATAAGTAGTGTTATCTTTACCCATGACACCTGTGTAACAAAACTAAGTTCGGTGTAAGAATTGACTTAAAGTAATACAATAAGAATGGGAAATTTAGGGGCTGGCCTGGTGGCACAGCAGTTAAATTTGCACGTTCTGCTTCGGTGATCCAGGGTCCGCTAGTTGGGATCCCGGGTGTGGACATGGTACCACTCATCAAGCTATGCTTTGGCAGGCATCCCACATATAAAATAGAGGAAGATGGGCACGGATGTTAGCTCAGGGCCACTCTTCCTCACCAAAAAGAGGAGGACTGGCAGCAGATGTTAGCTTAGGGCTGATCTTTCTCCAAAAAAAAAAAAAAAAGAATGGGAAATTTAAAGGATTAAAAGAAAGTCTTGGGAAAAAAAAAAAAAAAAAAAGAAAGTCTTGGGTCTGCCCATGAATTTCTAAATATAGCATGCTTGACCAGGAAAATGGAAATGAGTATTTGTGAATGAACTTTAGATTAAAGGAAATTATTAATACAAAGCCATGTAAGTTTAAATTAACATGAAGAAAAATACAATTATTTCTAAAAACAACCATATACATTAAGAGAAATGATACTTTCTTTAAACTTGCATTCTCAATACTGTCTGTGCAAAACTGCTTGTAGTGTCCTCAAATGGGCATCTGTGGTCAGATGTGTAGGAAACATCCCATTAAATGGTATATATATCAAAGCAACATGGCCTGCCATTTCCTTTAATTAGATGGAGTCTGGCCAGGTCACGGCTGTGCTTTTGAACAACTGGTCTGGATGTGTGAAACCTGCAGAACGGGCAGTAGCAGCTGGAAGGCGTCCTGTACGTATGTCATGCTATTGCAGCCCTGTGAGAGGAGAAACATGTGGTTAAAGGGTTATTTTCAGATTTAATCTTGACAAGTCTTCCAATTTGATAATGTTCCCTCTCCTCAAACCCCACAATATTTTATAATATTTTTCTTTTAATGTTGCTGTTTAAAGCAAATGTAAGCACACTCCTTTGGATAGAATACATCCAAGTCTCAGTTATCTATACTAACAGAGAGAGGGATTCACTCAAAATGAGGCAAGACATTTCCATCGACTTTTAGGGTACATCGATATGCGTATATTTATGACACAACACGTCCAGTCTTGCCTATGCTTTTCTCAGGTCAAGCCCACTGCCCTGAAATAAAAGCACAGTATGAAGGAGGCTCTAGTTTGTCTGAATCTATAGACGAATAAACAAGAATGGTCTACATAAAGCTAACTGGAGATGTCATTGTGCAATTATTCATGGCAAGCCTTGAATGCTAGTATCTTCCCATGCATGTTGGTACCTTCTGCTTGGTTTGGATATTTGATGTTGCTATTCATGTTCTGTGGTGCCCTAACATACAGTATTAGAGGGAGAGGCCATTTAAAGTTTCAGGTAACTAAAACTTGAGAAAACTTCCATTGGGAGAATGAATCGACATTTGACCTCATATTCCTCAGGACCGATATGGTGCATTAATCTGCTCATGCCTTCTGGCTAGCCAGGCGAGAGATTTTCTTGTTCCATATTCTGCCTCTGATTGCCTTGGTTTCCTCTTAGCTGTGTCTGTCCCCCCAGAACCTGCCCCTACAGTTCCTTGTCCCTTCTGTGTGGCTGTGTCCCAAACAATAACACTGGGTGCCACCACTTTGTAACTTTTGTACTTTGGTAGTTTTCCTTAGCAGTAAGGCACAACTCCTACAAACACTGCTATAAATATATGGGTAGCCCTCCCTGAGTTGAAGTTTTCTAATTTCCAGTTTTTGTAATTGACAGCTACTTCAGACTTGTGGCTTCAGCCGGGTGCCCTGTGGCTACAGATGTGCCAGTTTCTTATAGTGTGGCCGCTACGGAAGGTTTTCCTCCACCAACCACAGATAGAACAGAGTGCCTACGACTCAGGAATGAGAAGGCCTCTGGGCTTCTTTTCCTCTCTCTTACATCTCTGCTTCTGGCAAAGACACAGCAGTGTCAGGGTCGCTTCATATCTATGCTACAAAGTCCTGGCGGGCGGGCAGGCCACAGAGCAAGTAGTCACAGAGGATGGTGTCTCTGGTCACTGAACGGGCAGAGGCTAAACATCCTATTTGCCATTTTTGCCAGTCTGGAGCTCAGACCCAGCTAAATCATAGGTTATTGTGAATGGAAGGAAGCACCCATTTTTACAAAAATCACCACTGAGCAAGAATCTCTCATCGCAGCCAATAATCACACTGTTAAATCTGGTGTCAAACTTGGCGGCAGAAATCTGCTTCTGCTGGAGGAAACAGCGACAGAAATAACATGCAAGCTTAGCGTTTCTCTTTACAATCAGGAATTCTTGAAAATTAGGTATTGTTGCTTCACCCGCGGGTTTACAGCTGGTTGAGCTGCACAAAGGTACTCAAAAAAGACTGCTGATAAGATTTAGGATTGCAGTAACACTTGCTGTCTGGGAGAAAGACCAAAAAATGTAGCTCCAACATTTGCTTTGATAGAGAAGGGCTTTCTCTCCAGGGGCCACTTACCTCTAACAACACACTATTGATCATGGGGTTAAGGACCTCAGCCTTCTTGTTGCTCTGCAGAAGCAAAAGGATGAAATTAACAGATCAGATTCTCACACTACAGAGCTTGACACATAAAATGTGATACACCAGCTTTGTTGAGGGATCTCTTAGAGACGAAGGGGAGGAGAAGTGGAATACTTACTACAGACCAGGCTTCCTATTTGGTGCTTCCCTTATATAATTGCATTTAATTTTGACAAAAATCCTAGGAGGTAGGCAGGTACCATGATAAATCCAATTTAAAGATGAGGAAACAGGGGCCAGGAAGGTTGAGTAACTTATGTCAGGTCACATAGCTAGAAATTTAAACTTAGGCCTTTTTTAACTATTTACAGCTTGTGGCAGGTCTGAGATTAGGTGAGATGAATGAGGATGAGTTGTACAAGGGCAGGGTCGAATCCTGTCTTTACTCAAAATTTTGGTATTTTGTTCATCATAATTTTTTTTGCCTTCATTTTGATGTTTAAAAATATTGCACTAAAATATCTAGCTAGATGACTGAGGTTATTTCTTTGTCTTTTTTTGGGGGGGGGCGGGACCTTAAATTTTGCTGGTGAATTAAGTACCTTACTCGCCTACCCTAATTCCAGCCCTAGTCTGTAGTCTTTTTTTCTTTCTTCTTTTAAATGCAAGCATGGATATTTGGTTATAGGGTATGTCTTCCAGATTAGCAGCAAAATTAAAACATTCTTAACCATAACTTGCAAACAGGTCTGCAGACTCCAGTTTGCAAAATATGAACAACCCATGGAAAGCACAGAATACAGTGCCTGATACAAAGCAGATGTTCAAAAAGTGAGAGCTAGTGTTAGTATCATCGTTATTATTATTTCCACTATTGATCTCTCAGTCAACAGTCTTCTCTATCTAAAATGTTCTATCTACTCTTAGACAATAAATAATTCAAGGGACTGAAAAGAGAGAGAGCAATTTTACTAGACTGGTTTCCCTTACACTACTCAGAAGACTTTATGGTAAACAAAAGGATATAAATGAAATATATCTTCCCAGAGCAGCCGACTTTCATTGACATCACTCCACTGAGGGCAAAGTAATGTCTTACTGGGGAAACTATAACAGAGTCTTGGGAAAAACCTCTTTAAAAACCCAGTCATTTTAGTAAGTAACCAGAAAATCCATTATGGTATTTGCTTTCATGTTTATTTGATTATCAATAAACCTCTAAAATATAATCAAAATGAGGGCAATAAAATGACATTGGTTTTCAGAATCAATGAGATGTGCAAGCAATTTAAATAGAGTCTGGAGAGCAATATACACTCATTAACTTCGAGTTATGAATAATGGCTGTTTCAGAGAACAGAAACAATGACTTGATGAAAATGATTCATCATAGCACAGGATGAAGGGTATTGTGGTGAGATGGCATTTTAGTGAACTTTATTTTAGACTTATCTTTTTCATTCTCCAAAATGATCGTTTGTGTGTTTCTGGTTTTGTGCATGCAAACATTTGTACACATGTGTGTATATATGCATATATATATGTTCAAGTGCACAACCATCTGCCAGAACTTTGCTACTCAAAATGTAGACTGTGGATCAGGAACAGTGTTATCACCCGGGAGTGCGTTAGAAATGAGAATCTCAGTCCTCATCCCAGACCTGCTAGCTCAGAATCTGCAGGGACAAGATCTCCAGGTGATTTGCTTGCACGTTAAGGTGTGAGGAGCACTATCCCGGAATACAATATGTTAAAAGGAATGGAAACCAATACCATGAACATTACCCACTAATGTGAATAAATAACAGGAATCACATAGAACATATAACACACACACATGCAGACACATACATCCTCGTCACTGGACAACCATAGAGAACCAAACAGTTGGCTTTCTGTCTGCTGTGTCTGATGGACAGCTGCTTAGGAGCTGAGAGATCAATTGAGAGGCTTGAGTGAATCAGTCCACCCCTCTGGGCCTCAGTTTCCCACCTAGTGAACTGTGGGAAGAGTGAGAAGAGGCTAGACAAGAGCCTAGAGAAGCCGAATCACCGAGACCATCCCATCCTGGTAAGACCTCACACCTCTCTATAAACCTACCAGTTATGCCAAAGCCCATGGGTATCAGTCAACTTAGACAACACTGAGCACACAAATGCATTTTATTGAGCCTATCATATCCATGAACTTCCCTCTCGCTTCACTCCGCTTGCATATAGTGAAGCTCCATTGCTGAAGGACTAAAATTAGACAAATGCCAAAGCTGACGTCTTACAAAATAGGAGAGGCGAGCCAGATTCCTTGACAGCAGAACGAGTAGGTGTTATGTAGCTCACTCCTTATTAACGGAGTCACTTAGAGAATTGTGGCAGACACACATCTCTTGACGGTCAGGTCCATAATCACTTCTGCTTCTTGTGAGAACTGCCTTTGGCTTGGGGGAGGCGGGTACACCCCAGCAGCCAGGTAGGTTTACATGATGTGACCCTAGCCCTACTCACTGCTGAGTCATACCAAGATGGACATCTGACCCACACTGATGAGTCTTTCAAACCTTCTCAAGCAGGAAGGATGGAGAGACATGGGGTCTGGGAACTGCTGTAGCTGAGTCGCATTAACAGCAACACTAGAGAGAGGGCACATGATCTCTGCTGCCGGGTCCCCACAGCTGCTCACATTCCTCCTTTGCCTTTAATAAAGTCCTTTTTCTGTCTAAACTACTTTGTTTCTATTACTTCCTGTTATAGGTCAAATTGTGTCCCCCGCAAAGAGATATGTTGAAGTCCTAACCTCCAGTAAATCAGAATGTGACCTTACTTGGGGACAGGGTCGTTGCAGATGTAATTGATTAAGATGAGGTCATACTGGTCATACCCTAATCCATATGGCTAGTGTCCTTATAAGAAGAGGGAAATTTGGACACAGACACACATGGAGGGAGGACAACGTGAAGATGGAGAAACAGATTGCAGTTATGGCGTCACACCCCAAAGAACGCCTGGGGCTCCTAGAAGCTGGAAGAGAATAGAAGGGATCATCTCCTAGAGGCTTCAGAGGAAGCACGGCCCTGAGGCACCTTGATCTCAGACTCCCAGCCTCTGTGAGACAATAAATGTCTTTTTCTTAAGTTACCCAGTTTGTGGTATTTCTTATGGCAGCTCTAGGAAACGAATACATTTGCAACCAAAAAACACCCTACCTAAAACAGGAAGTAAAACCTAATGCTTCTCATGGAAAGAAACATTTGGCCTTACATCCAGGGCCTTAAAAGAAAAAGTAGAAAGGTTAAAAAGAAATATTTTCCACTTGCCTCCTCAACCCCAATCCCACTAAGGTGGGGCTATATACCGTGACTGATATCTAAAGTAAACAACCAGAAGCCACACCTCCAAATGAACGCTGAAATTTTCAAAGTTATTACCTTGAGAACAGAAACATTTATGCCAATTGGTAAATTTTTTCTTTTGGTTAAAGTTGATGTATACAACAAAGAAAAGCAACTTTTTATCTTGTGTGGCTTATAAAATAGCCTCTGAGGGCAACAAGATTGTGAATATTCAAGATTAATTATTTTAAGAGATATTCTTGAATTACATACAACAGACATTAAGTAATAGAAGGAACCTTCATTTGACATTTCTTTTTTTACAAAGAAAATGAGGCCCAGAGAGGTTTGGAAAGCCACTCAACATCTTGTATGTCCGCGATGACAAATTCAGGGCTGGAGCCCAGTCAGGTTAGAGCCCTGAGGTGCCTGTGGTTAGAGAAGGTGCTCTTGGCCTGGTTTTAGCAAATATCCCGGCGGAGCTTCCATTTTGTGGAGCTATCAAAAAAGGCACTGCATGCTCTACTTTTCCTCACAGCTCCTCATAGACCCATCTCTCCTAAAAAGGTGAAGAAAGAATCCATATTATAATCTTACCCCAACAGTGGTTAAAGAATTTGTAAACTTTTTTGATAAAGAGGCCACTTCCTTGCACATTGCAGTAGTTAATCTGAAAAACAAAAAAAGAGATTTGGAGATTTTCAATAAAGTAAAATAATTTAACTGCCAAGACAATTGACGGATATTAATACCACATTCCATTTAGAGGAACATGGTTTGAAGATGCTTTGCAGAAATGTTTTTCTCAATAATCTCCCATGATTCTCAATCACAGTTTAATCTAATCCTGGTTTTCTCTGCATGCTTAATTAAAGAATATTCAGCTAGCTCACCCTACATCTTTTTAGAGTCAAAAGTGTTTGCAGGAAAATAACAGGCTTGAGCCCCACATGTATAGGGGTATAAGATTCTTGCCAACTGGCTTTTCTCCAGCTTTTTGGTCATTTTTAAAGAATAATGAACATTCATTGAGGTACTATGTTAGGTACTTTCATATGCACAATCATATTGAATCTTTATAGCGACCTTATAGGTTTTGTGGTTATTCCCATTTTATAGATGAAGAAACTGACAGTTAAGAAGATTAAGCAACTTGCTTAGGACAAGCAGTAGTAAGTGACAGAGCTGGGATTCAAACTCAGGTGTCTCGACATTTTGATTATGTTTTTATTAGATGCCTCAAAATAAAGATCCTGTAGGATATGTTTTTAAGACTTATATCAAAACTCGAAGTTTATTCCAGCCACTCCACTTCTAGGACTTTACTCCAAGAAAATAATGCAAGATGGACACAAATATTTAACCAATATAATGTTTGTCATAATATTACAGATGATAACAAAAACTGAAAACAATCTAATTACCTAGCGATGTCAGTATTGTATGATTTTTCTTTTACAATTAGTGTATATGACTTTTATGAATAGTGATTAAAACACTACTAGAAAAACAGTAACTCCAAGTTAAGAACCTTACATGTTAAAGATCTAATGAAGTCAGCAGAGGTAAGTTTTGTTTTGATAAATCAGGGTTCTGTCTGAGCTATGTATGTATTCAGGTTTGTTGAGCTTTATCCATCTACCCACCTACCCACCCACGCATCCACCCATCCATCCATCCACTCATCTACCCATCCATCCATCCACCCATCCACCCATCCACCCATCCATCTATCCATCCAAAACTATCTGCAGAGGGTCAGGAGTAGGGCCAGGAGACAGCCCAGAGCCACTCTGTCTATGATTTTGGGGAGGTGCGTGAAGAGGCATTTATTTTACAGACAAACATGAAGCCTTATTACCTTTTGCTTGGTGCAGCTTGATAAGGTTGGGACAACTAGGGCTGAGAATCAGAAAGCAGCTAAGAGTAATGTCCTGCTATCCATACTCAGGGACTTTTGAACTTTAGCCCTTCTCTTTCAAATCAGTACTGCAAATATAAAATAGTACCTAGGTGTTTTCCTCAATATTTTAAATTCTTCCTTTTTGCCCTTTCCTCTTCCTTCTAAACACTGAGGCAAGTACATATTCTTTCTAGGCATAGCAAGGTCAGGATTGTGAGGTTGTTATAATATCTTTGATTTTCACATTTCTAGATATGAAAATCTAGACTAGATGACAGATCCTGACAAGTGAGGAAAAATGCCATCGGTAGTATAAAGACACTAATATCAAATTTTTGGAAGGTCCTTCCAGTAGAAATTTGCTCCCCAATCTACAATGCCAAATACAATAAGAAGCAAAGACCAGTTAGCTAGCAAGGTGAATGAGTGTGTTGAAACCTGTGTGTGTGTGTGTGTATGCATTTACCTCTAGGAGGCTCTTATCTTGGCTCCTGTGTCTGTATAATAATGAGAGGCTGTTTGAACCTGTGCTAATTTTCTGTACCACAATATACAGCCATGCACATAAAAGTTAATGGCTCATTTTTCAGTTCCATACCAACTATTGTAATGAACACTCCATACCAACTATTTTCACGTATATAAAGTTACATATCTACACATTTTTATTTCACTAGATAAATGAATAATAATAGCTACTATTTTTTGAAGAACATAACATATGACCGCACATATGCACACACATGCAATCCACAGCGAACTGGCTTACATTAGTGACCATCACTGCCAGAATTCAGAATATGCAAAGTTGGTATAAGTCCCTAGGAACAGTGGGGGTGTGTTTGCATACTTTTGTGAAGCTAGCTGAGACGTCACATTAAGGTGTCCTTTCTCTATGTTGGTATGTTGAAAATGTAATTACCCTCAAAGGTCTGTACTTTCAAGACTTTGATCTATTAAAATAAACACTCACACAGCTCTGAATGATTTAGTGTGTCTTCCCTTAAATCTCTTCATAAATAATTCTTGGAATTTAGTTAATTATTATTATTCTTGCTAACATAGTTTATTTCTTAAAAGAGTCCTTTTTCTTAACATAACATAGAACGATGTAATTAGTTGACTGGAAATCTGAATCTTTAGTAGCTTAGGGTTTGTGTGTGTGTGTATGTGTATGTGTATTTGAGTGGCACATATATATAAAATTGGAAAAATAAGAATTAAAAGTAATATTTACTTTATGAGAACTTTTGCTTGGTACTGAGCTGATTTTTCCTCTTCTTGTCCATGAAGAATTAATTCTGCTACTTTATGAAGCTGCTCAATACAGCGTGCTGTTACTTCTGCCAGACTTTCGATGGACAGCATGTATACTTCCTGAAATAAACAAATGCAAGTAAGAAAATAATTCACTGAGCAGGTGCTTTTTAAAAAACCCTGTGACACTAAACCTATTATATAATTCTTGAATAAACAACCAAATATGACCTTTAAAAGCTTACCCAAAGATTAATGGGTGTACGTACAACTTCTCTAAGTGGAAATATTGCCATAAAATGGGAACTCTGCCAGGTCCCCAGGGATATGGCAAGCCTTTTTCACAGCTGCATGCCAAGTACTCAGAGCAATGCTGGGCACACGACAGGCAGGTACTCAAGAAGGTGTGTGAAAGGGCAGCCGAAATAATAGACCTCAGTGGACATTTTTCTTTAGACCGATCTAATTTAAAAACTTACTTTCTCTAAAATTAAATCCCATGTAAGATGAAGTTATTGCAAATTCATTTTTGAACATAGGCAGGATATAAATTATGCACATAGAAATTTATTAAACTACAGAATAAAAACTGCGGCAATGAAATTTTTTTGGAAAAAGCTTCAATTACCTCATTCATTAAGGGGCATAAAGACATTTTATAGTTACAAATTTGCATACAAGATGGAATTTTACCCTAAAGATAAATTAACTGTGTTCGTAAAGACCTTTTTTCCTTTAAATTATAATTGTAAAGCTATGGAGAAAAGCTACACTATCTATGCTAAATCACAAATTCTCTTGGCATGGGGAAATTTTAGTGTTTATTACATTAATACTCATATTTCTATAATGTAGAACAGGGTACAAATGACAATGAAATGGCCTCTCCTCATTTAAAATTGGGCTGCTAATAAAATTAACATAATATTACTGCTTTTGAGGTGGACAATATAAGTTTACCTCAACTGTCTTCGTTCTCCTTCCTTCCTTTCCGTCTTCTTTGGGGTTTTCAGGTTTTTCTTCCCCTTCTTCCTTTTTAGTTTTCTCCTCTGACTCTTCTGCCACATCTACCGACACCACGGTTTGATCTTCGTCCATGCAGTCATGAGCTTTTTTCATGGCCTGCAAAGGCCCCCAACCAGAGCAACACATTTATCGTGTCAACATGGAGACTAAGAAATTCCAATCCCAAGACTAGGATCAAGTTGCCCTAAACCTTTAAGGGTCATTCTCTGTAAATTTAAAGCATGATGGGGCAATTCCTGAACCTCCTTAAAAACATCTTGTTGTTGCTTTCTGGTAAATATAAAGTAAGAAAGGGGACAGAATAAAAAGAAAGTAGAGAGAGAACAGTGCAGGGCTGGATGACTTTCCACAGCGCGTTCTAATGTGATACTCAGATAAGAATAAAAATGACAGTCACCTTGAAAGATCGATAGTATATTTTTCACTTTGCCTGACCAACTGTAAAAGAATAATAGTACTTTTTAAATGTACACAGGTTAGAGATTTAGCCACGGTCATTGCTACAGCAAATTTCCTCATTTGAAGTGTCTCATGAAGCCCTTAATGTTTCATGGACCTAATAACGTATTGTGCTGGGAAGACGAAGGATGGCTCCGCTCTTCTCTAGTCATGCCACGTCTTCCAGCTCAAGGGGCAGGAGAGAAGAGCTGTGGGAATGACCTGGCTCTGCTCTGCAACTAGTTTAATTTCACATGGGTGCAGTTTGAACAACCTGTGGCCTAAAAAATTATGGCTAAATTGAACAAGCAGAAACCACTTTGCCTGTTATTCCCTGAATTTAGAAAGGACAGAGTCACCCAGCTTTGATCATTATAGTTTAAGCCGTTTGCTTAAGTGAAAGTTATATCTGAGCTTATGCTAAACCTACTTCTCATCTTAAAGCTTACACGTCAAAGTTTAACGTCAGTGTTGAATGGCCAGTTAATGGCAAGATGATTTAGGGAGACAAAACCCACCAAAACCATCCTTGGTGTGTCCTCTTTTAGAGACAAAGGTTTACCTGGCTATGTAAATAAACCAGTGGGACCTTGGAGGCATCATACACGCTCTGAGCAGTGGCAGGTGCTGCACGGAGATGAATGAGGCAATTTCCCACTGTGTTCAAGTCATTGACCTGCCACAGTCGGTGACCTCTACCAGAGATAAAGAAATTACTCTCTCTCCACCTCACTGCCTCCTTCTGCCCTTTCCTCACCCACTTTGATAAGTGAGGGCCTGTGTCAACTACTGCATGCTAAAAAGAAGAAAGGGAAAAAAAAGAGAGAAAGAACAGGAAAAATAACACAGCTTTAAGTAAATAATAATCAGTGTCCTCATCAAGAAACTCTACAGCAAGACCTGGCACTAACCTGCAAAATGTACTGTGGTAACTATTAGAGGAACCCAGACTGTTAAAGCTGGAATGTTCTTAGGCATGATGTAGCAACAACATTCCAGGGGGGTGGGGATGTGTGGTTGACCTGGCTGATGTGCTTCCTTCTGCCTAATCCTGACATGTCACTTTAGCGGGGGAGGGGAAATGGAATTTGAAAAAACCTGTTGGTGATTCAGCACCCCTCTCTTCTCCCGTATGCTGAAGGTAACCACTGCTCTCATGTAAAATTCTATTTTGAGGAGAAGTGACTTGTTCAAGGTCACAAGGTAATTACTAGTAAAAGTTGCAGCTGAAATGCAGATCTCATGACACAGTCTACCATGTTCTCTGCCACCACATTTCATCATGTTGCCCCCTTGAACCTTAATTACTGACCTCACACTCCCCTCCTGCTATGTGCCATTTGGGATTTGGGGTATTTCCATTTCGGGTGGATCTCTGGAATTTTATAACTGAGATCCTTTTTTTTTTTTTTAAAAGACAAAGACTCAGACTCAGAAGGGGCTGACCTTATTGAGTTTGTCAGGCGTGGCTGCGACATGTAATTCAAAGAGAAGCTCTGTGAGCATGCTAGCAAATTCTTCTCCCTTTTCTTCTAAGCCTAGAAATAGAAAATGACAGAAGTAAGAAGCATGATTTATTTTTCATCCTTCAGGATGTGGCAGCTCCCCCAACCATATAGCCCGCAGTCAGAGTCTAAGTGGGGGCTGCGGCAGCCTGTCCTCCAGCTGCCGGGCAAAGATGAGTTTCGCTCGCTTATGAGCATAGCACTGAGGTAGGAGACTGCTGCTGGGTGAGGGCTGCTGGAGCCTTGTTGCTCGCAGCTCTAGCCGGGGCACTGCCAGGCTGGCCTAGAGGGAATGTGAGCGCAGTGAGGGACTCATGCGTCTTGTTCAAGCTATGGGTGGTCAGTAGCTACTTGTTGAAAGAATGACCGAAGGAACAAATGAATGACCTTTCTCAGGGTTGGGAGCCGTAGGACAACACTGTGTTTATGACCTAGAGTACTGCCGTGCTTACCAGGCAACCCTAACGATACCCAGGGCGACCTTTTCTGTCTACAGAGCCACCGTGCTAAGGGAGCAGAATTAGTCTCGATGGCTCGTGTGCTATCTGATGTAACAATGTTATATCTCTAGAGAAATTTCCCAAGGTTTCCTGGGACACCTGTCTGGTCTTACAATACTTCTTAACAATATGCCTTCCCTCCAGATTGGAAGTTACCTAAAGACAGAGACAGAATTTGTTTTGTTCACTTTTGAATCCAGGGCATCTAACACAGTGCCTGGAAGATAGGAGGTGCTAAAATGAATATTTATTGAATAAGCAATTCATTAATAAATTATATCACAGATAATAATATATTGATTATATAAAGTATAATGTTATATTTAATATATCTAAAAATAAAAATAAATTAATATCATTGGTGAGCAATAAAGAAGAAAGATCTTTAAAAGTTACAGTCTGAGCCAGGCCTGATGGCCTGGCAGTTAAAGTTCAGCATGCTCCCCTTTGGTGGCCTGGGTTTGGTTCCTGGGTGCAGAACCACACTATTTGCCTGTCACTAGCCATGCTGTGGTGACGGCTTAAAGAGAAGTCAAAGGACTTACAACTAGAATATACGACCATGCACTGGGGCTTTGCAGAGGGAAAAAAAAAGTTATAGTCTTATTTATCTCATTTGTATCACGAGTTGAAGCCTTTTTTAAAGTTTCTGATAAGTGCTGAAGAATTGATTCCACAATCAGTTTACTACCAGTTTTGAGGGGAATAAAGGCATCATTAATCTGGCCTGATTACATGATCTCAAAACCCTCTGAGAAGAAAATACTCTGGCTATGTCAGTGGGGAAAGCAGTAGCTTCAGGGAGGACTAAGCCATGCGAGAAATACTGTATCTAACACTCGTCTGCACGTGCTCTCTGTTTTATAGACAAAATGTTAATCAGCAGCTCATAAAGACAGCCAGGATAACTTGTAGGTCTTTGTTCAAAACATTTGGCTTAACCAGCTTAACATCACCTAGAATTTATATATGCTCATGAGGGAGACAGATCAGTAAACGTACTAGAGAAGTAAAACATATATGTCAGGAGAAAAGATTCATGGAGAAGTATAAAGCAAGGAAGAGGAATAGGGACAGTGAGGGGTTAGCAATTTTAAATGGGAGGGCAGCTGAGAAAGTGCCATTTGAGTAATGAACCAGAGGAGGAGAAGGGTGAGCCACACCAGATCAGGGGAAGAGATTTCCAGGCAGAGGCACAAAGTCCAGGAGGGAGTGTGCCCGGCTTATTCAGGGACAGCAAGGAGGCCAGGGGGGCCGCAGCAGGGGAGGGAGGCATGTGCCTTGGGGGTAGAGAGAGATGGCTGTCTTTGTTCCTGATGAAGCCAACACAAGTGAATCATTATAACCAAAAGAGGCAAGTGCTCTGACTGAGGGGGCTTTGCAGCACCTAATCCAGTCCTCAGAGGGCTGTTAAGAAGGCTTCCTGGAGGAGGTGATGCCTGAACCAAGCCTTCAAGAACGAGAAGGCATTAGTCACAGGCATAAAGGGAGATCTGGGGGATGCCAGAGGGAGAGGGAACGGGGAGAGAGAGAAATTCCTCCCAAAGCTGAGATTCTCTCTCTGTTGGGCAGAGGTCTAGATCTCATCCTCTCTAGGCCGGCAAATAAAAGGGGCAGGGGCACATCAGGGCAGCATCAACAAGGTCTCGTTCCCAAACAGCCGGGGCCTTCTGGTTCTGGAAGAGGCAGCGTTGCAGGGCAGAGACAGCCCAGGCTGAGGCTTGGGAGGAGGGGTTCTACGTTTAGTGGCTCTGTGACCCGGGCCAGTCACAGGGCTTCTCAGCTTCCATTTCCACCTCTGTGAACTTAGGATAATAAAACCCACCCATCTCCTCTTTAGCGTCGTTGTAAGGACCAAATAATACAACAAATGTGAAAGTATCCTGCAAACACTAAAGATTTAACTACATCATTATGTGCTACAAAGATATAAACATAGGAAGATTAAGAATATTTGGGAGTCATCAAAACTAAACTAGGATATAAGTACTCACGCAGCTTCAGTTTTTAAATGTGTGTTCATTCTATAAAACAGAAAAATACACCAGTGACTTTTATCAAATATTTTAGGAAAAAAAATCACAGAGAAAAATGGAAGGAGAAAAAAACAGATGATAAAAAACGTTTCAACAAACAAAAAGAATAAAATATCTAGGAATAAATTTAACCAAGGAGGTGAAGGACTTATACAATGAAAACTATAAGACATTATTGAAAGAAATAGATGATGACATAAAGAAATGCAAAGAGATTCCACGCACATGGATCAGAAGAATAAACATAGTTCAAACGTCCATACTACCTAAAGCAATCTACAGATTCAATGCAATCCTAGTCAGAATCCCAATGACATTCTTCACGGAAATAATACAAAGAATCCTAAAATTCATATGGGGCAAAAAAAGACCCCAAATAGCCAAAGCAATCCTGAGGAAAAAGAACAAAGCTGGAGGTGTCACAATCCCTGACTTCAAAATGTACTACAAAGTCATAGTGATCAAAACAGAATGGTACTGGTAGAAAAACAGGCACACAGATCAATGGAGCAGAACTGAAAGCCCAGAAATAAAACTGCACATCTACGGACAGCTAATCTTTGACAAAGGTGCCAAGAACATACAGTGGAGAAAAGATAGTCTCTTCAACAAATGGCGTTGAGAAGTCTGGACAACCACTTGCAAAAGAATGACAGTAGACCATTATCTCACACCATACACAAAATAAACTCAAAAAGGATCAAAGACTTGAAGATAAGACCCGAAACCATAAAACTTCTGGAAGAAAATATAGATAGTACACTCTTTGACATCGAACTTAAAAGGATCTTTTCGAATACCATGTCTTCTCAGAAAAGGGAAACAAAAGAAAAAATAAACAAATGGGAGTTCATCAGACTAAAGAGCTTCTGCAAGGCAAAGGAAACTAGTATCAAAACAAAAAGACAACCCACCAATTGGAAGAAAATATTCGCAAATCATACATCCAACAAGGGGTTAATCTCCATAATATATAAAGAACTCACACAACTGAACAACAAAAAAATAAACAGCCCAATCAAAAAATGGGCAGAGGAGATGAACAAACATTTTTCCAAAGAAGATATACAGATGGCCAACAGGCACATGAAAAGATGTTCAACATCACCAATCATCTGGGAAATGCAAATCAAAACTACACTAAGATACCACCTTACACCTGTTAAAATGGCTATAATCACTAAGACTAAAAACAACAAACGTTGGAGAGGTTGTGGAGAAAAGGGAACCCTCATACACTGCTGGTGGGAGTGGCAACTGGTGCAGCCACTATGGAAAACAGTATGGAGATTCCTCAAAAAACTAAAAATATAAACACCATATGACCCAGCTATCCCACTACTGGGTATCTACCCAAATAACTTGAAATCAACAATCCAAAGTGACCTATGTACCCCTATGTTTATTGCAGCACTATTCACGATAGCCAAGACATGGAAGCAATCCAAGTGCCCATCGACTGATGATTGGATAAAGATGTGGTGTATATATATATACATACATATATATATATAAATGTACACACACAATGGAATACTACTCAGCCATAAAAAAGACAAAATCATCCCATTTGCAACAACATGGATGGTCCTCGAGGGTATTATGTTAAGCCAAATAAGCCAGACTGAGAAAGACAAACACTGTACAATTTCACTCATATGCGGAAGATAAACAAACGCAAGGACAAAGAGAACAGTTCAGTGTTTACCAGGGGAAGGGGGGTGGGGGGTGGGCACAAGGGGGAAGGGGAGCACTCATGGTGACAGACAAGAAATAATGTACAATTGAAATTCACAATGATGTAAACTATTATGAACCCAATAAAAAAACCCCAAAACATTGCAACAAAGAATATCTATTACTACAACTCTTGGTCTGTACACATGGCTGAAAAGAAGATCTTCACCAAGGATATAAAAATAGAAAACAGCCTTTTAAAATCTCTTCACAACAGTGTGGTAAACCAAATTAGAGACCCATGGCAGCGTGATAAAATTACAATCTGCTGGCAAGACGAACATGCAAATCACTAGCTAACATCCTAAATGTAGAGGAGCTCAATAGGAAATCTACCTAAAAACGACAGTTGATTACATTTTCTGAGACTATGAAACAAATTATTTAGGTGTTAGGAGGCTTTTAGGAACGTAAGTGCTTACAAGACACAAGTTTGATGGAAATGCTCTGGTCTCCCAGAGCTTCGCCCCAGGATAAGATTCCTCTCCGTGGCTTTAGGACAAGCCCTCCACCTTCCTGGAGTTGTGGCACTTCATCATAATTGGATTGACTTAATGACAACCCCACTATTCTTTTCTCTTGGTTCTTCTTGAAGTGTTTGAATGACATTTATTTATTAAATTAAGTTAATTAGAATTAATAGTGTTTTTATAATCTGGAGATGCCCTCTGGGAAAATGGATATATTATGGGAGATAACAGGGTTCTGTCACTTAAGGAGAGACAAATGTACCATTTCGTAAGCATGCTGTTCAGGACTTCAATTTTTTTGGGTCATATTCAACAATCTCAATATACTGAAGCTCTACATTAAGACTGGAACACATCACATATAGTAACACTTTCTATTTAACAGTACTGAATCACGTTTCCTCTCCAAAAAATAGCACTAGTTGGGGATGCAATATTGCCTTAACTTGCTCTGGCAACAGTATCTCTTTGACGTTAGGGGGAAGTTAGGATCCTCTTTTTTATTTAAAGATTGGCACCTGAGCTAACATCTGTTGCCAGTCTTCTTTTTTTTCCCTTTCTTTCTTCTTCTTCTCCCCACAGCCTCCCAGTACATAGTTTTATATTCTAGCTGTGAGTGCCTCTGGTTGTACTATATGGGATGCCACCTCAGCATGGCCTGATGAGCAGTGCCATGTCCGTGCCCAGGATCCGAAACAGAGAAACCCTGGGCTGCGGAAGCGGAACATGAGAACTTAACCACTCGGCCACAGGGCCAGCCCCTGGGATCCTCTTTAATCCTCTCAGAGTGACATTCCCAATAGGACCAAGGTCTACCTCAGGCATCATGGAACTGAAGAGAAATAGCTTGGATCTTTTTGGTGATTGTTATGCTGGAAAAGAAGCATCTATATTAGTTCATCTTGGGTCTATCATGCTAGCCGCATGACCTTTGACAACAAACGCCTTAGTTTCTTCATTATTAAAACAGAGACAAGGCTGTCATCCTTTGTGACTGTAGAACATACAAATGCTCAAAAATGTTATTCTCCAACTACTTCTTTGATACTGGGTCTTTCTATGCTTCTGTCTAATTGATTTTTCTATTTTGATGCAACGAGCATAAATCTCATTAAAGTGAATGCACATAAGGTCAATACGTGGGGCTAAAGCGGGAGATGGTATTTAAATAACAGTTTGCAAATGCTTAGAATAATTTTGCCGTGAGCACCGAGGCTGAAGCATTTCTGCTCTTGTGTTGGAGCTTTCATTAAAGGTGTGCAACATGCATGGGCAGAAAATACTTCCAGTGACTTCATGGTATGAATGCACAGTATCACTGTTCTGCATTTGGGTAACAACAAGTACAATCATAAGTAAAAGCTACAATGTATTACACACTTATTACTGTCCTGGCATTGTGTTAGCACTTTAAATAATAATAGTTAACAGTTTTTAGCAGCTCTGTGCGTCAGGCATTGTAACATACGTTTTTACATATATTATCTAATTTGATCCTCACAATAGCCCTTGGGAATATGTAACATTGTCTTCACTTTACAGGTGAAGATACTGAGTTTCAGAAAGGTGATATAGCTTGTTCAGGGCCATTCAGCAAGTAAGTGGCGAAAATGTTTCAGATGGGACCTTCAGATGGTCCCAGGAGAAGCCAGCCTTGTGTGTCTATGGTTGCTTGAATTTTTTCTTTTTTTGTGGTGAGGAGATTGGCCCTGAGCTAACATCTGTTGCCAATCTTCCTCTTTTTGCTGAGGAAGATTAGCCCTGACCTAACATCGGTGCCCATCTTCCTCTATTTTGTATGCGGAAGGCTGCCACAGCATGGCTGATGGGCAGTGTGTAAGTCCGCGCCCGGAATCTGAACCTGCCAACCCTGGCCGCCGAAGTGGAGTGCATAAACTTCACCACCACGCCACCAGGCCAGCCTCTTGAATTTTTAACGTAAGCGACACAAACAACTGTGGTAGTGGTGGTTGGTGGTGACATCAGTAAGAGATCACTCTCCATGTACATAGCAAATATTTTGCTATATTCTCTTCCCAAATGGACGTAATCATTAAGCATGCCCAACTTTGAGAACGTTTTTTCCCCTTCTCAAGGAAGGCTTGCTTCTCACAAAATATGTTCTAGTCTCCTTGGTGTCATGTCATTGTCCAGCTGGAAGATGGTCAGGAGTGCACACCTGGCTTAGTTCAGTGATTGTCAACCCAACACATCACACCGTGGTGCACTGGGTGCCTTTGTCAGAACTGTACTTTTTCGGTGGAGTGTAGGCCACTTACCAGTACACCCTAACTCCTGCACATATAAATTAAAAAGAATAACAAGATATGAAAAGAAATCCACTGAAAGACCTGCCCACCATCAACATCAATCACATTCAACAATTTCTGCATGCACACAGAACATTAGACATCGGAGCATAAACTCTAGGCATCAGGGCCCCGTTGAGCACACTGTGCTCTTTGTTCATTTGACCATACGCATTTATTGCACGTCTGTGATGTGATGTGCCAGGATTGTGCTGGACACCAGAGAAATAAAGATGGCTCTGTCAGGAGTTCCCACCCAGCAAAAGGGAGGGTTACAGATCAAAGTGACCAGCTCCTGTGACAAGAGCAGATGCACAGAGTGTTCTGGAAGCAGGGAGGAGGAGCACCTGAATTAAATAATTCCACCCTGTTCAAAGGGCTGTGCTTACTAACAGCGTTCATAAGAATTGTACCTACAGTCTGTCTTGCTCTTTAACAGGTTATTTACCTTTACCTTGTTCTTCTTGATTCTCTTCATTCTCTAATTCTTTGGCTGCAAAGATGTCTTTTATGGAAATTAGGTCATTTTTTAAGAGTTCCAGCTTCTCTCCATCAAGTGATGATAAAAATGACTGAACCTGAAAAAAGAAATAGGTTGGCATAACTGTCATCTCTTCTTCTCATTAATAACATTTATGTACGGCCGTCCTCAGGTCTCCCAGGACTGAGGTGATTCTCGGTGTGGGAGGTTGAATGTTGGATTTACTGCCTACTAACTGTGCAACTTTGGGTAAGTTACATAAGCTCCTTGGGCCTCAGTTTTTTAATCGAATGTGTTTGACATATAACACTGTGTAAATTTAAGGTGTACAACATGTTCATTTGATACATGTATATATTGCACTTGTAGTGAGGTTTAGTGCCTCTATCATGTCACATGATTATCCTTTCTTTTTAGTGGTTGGGATCATAAAGTTTTAGTGTGTTAGCAAGTTTGATGATGGTAGTACACTATTGTTGTCTATATTCATTATACTGTGCATTAGTTCTCTGGCTTATTTACTACTCACTGCCAAGTTTGTGCCCTTAAACATCATCAATCTAATCTCCCCACCTTCAACCCCTGGTAACTGCCATTTTACTCTCTGTTTTTTATGACATTTGACTTTTTTAGATTCCACATATAAGTAAGATCATACAGTACTTGTCTGTCTCTGTCTGACTTATCTCACTTAGCATAATGGGCTCAAGGTCTATTCTTAGTGTCCTAAATGACAATATATCCTCTCTTCTCAGGGGGGATAATATTCCATCGTGTATATATACATATATATATATACCACATCTTTTTTATCCTTTCATCCATTGATAGGCATTTAGGTTGTTCCCATATCTTGGCTATTGTAAATAATATTACAATAAACACAGGAGTGCATATATCTCTTCGAAATCCTGTTTTTGGTTTCCTCAAAAAATTAAAAATAGATCTACCATATGATCTAGCAATTCCACTTCTCAGTATATACCCAAAGGAAGTTTTTCTCAGTTTCAAAACAAGATCCATATTTCATTGTGATGCTTTGTGGGGTCAATGAAATAAGGAATAGGAAGTGTACACAGCAGATGCTAAATAAATGGTGGTGGTAGCTTTTCTATCATGGTGGTTAAAAAAACACTTTGACGTCAACCCTGGATTCAATTATGTGACCTTGGGTAACGTATTTTACCCTTCTATGCTTCAGCTCCCTTATCTATAAAACGAAGACTATACCACCAACCTTGTAAGGTTGTTTTGAAGTTTAAATAAAATGATGTACTTAGAAGTATTTATAGTGATGGTCAATAAATTATATTTATATATATACACACATGTAAACAAACATATAAATAAACAAATGTTATATGTATATATACAGATATATATATACATATATACTTGCTAGATGTGTGTTATTGTACTGGGGTTACAAAAAGGCACAAGACACGTTTTTCTTCTCAGAGATCTTGCAGTCTAGAGGAGGGAGACCCATGTCAACTGACAAAAGCCATGACAGACGTGAGTGCAGCGACAGTGGGGCACCTGGGAGGGGGCTGCAGTCCCACTTCGGGAGGGAAGGCGGGGGTGGGGAGGCTTCACAGGATGATGCTTGAACTGATGTCCTCTCTGCTCATTGTCTTCAGGAGCCTTCTTTTGTAGCTATCCTTTGTAAACAACTTAATAATTATTTGTACAGGTGGCCAGTCATCCTCTGTGAATTTTAAGATTGATTTTAATTTCCAAAATGGTCAAAGGGCAGGGAGGACCATATAAAAAGTCACGTATGACTAGACAGTACTTGTAAGCTTTTAGTTTTTTCATTCTGCAGATCAAACGCTTGCTCTGGAGGGAGAACCAGCAGAGGAGCCACAATGCTCTTCGGAATATGTTGTAATATTCATGATGGTGGTAGATTTGTACATGAGGATAAGTGAAAGAGTTAGAGAGGGCCTCCGAGAGGCCAGGACGCCATTTTCCTAAAAGTAGCTAATGCACATCACCAGGGCATAATGCGACCGGCGCCAAGGCCCTGGGAGGCAGCTTGACGGGAAGTCATCCACATGAAACCCATTAGCCTCAGAGTTCAGCAGGTGGAAGCAAACGCGCCCTGCAGGATGGCTGCCGTCACTCCTTTCTGCCCTGATCTTTTCAGAGTCCTTGTGTTTAGGTCTCAGGGTCCTAGATGTGTGCACATCATATTCTTATGCTTCAGATATATTTTCTAAACAGCAGTTTTCTAAGACTGAATAAAAAAGGTAATTGTTGAATAAATGTGCTTGAGTACAACACTCAGTGAAAACGTATATACACACGTGGAACATTTTGGTTTCCCTGTGTCTTCCGGAGGGTGGCCATCCTCCAGGAGGGAATGCACTGGGGTTTTACGCTTTTGGCATCCCCTGGGAAGGGTTCTTTTTAACTAAGGACTCTTTTGTCAGCATCTTTCTCCTATAGCATCTCTTTTGCTTCCTCCTAGTTCATTCCATTCTGCCAAGGTGAAGTGCATCGAGTCCTTACTTCAATCCAACAATAAATAATAAATAATCATGTGCTCCTCAATAAATATTTGTGGAATGCTGACTATATGCTTGGAATTGTGCTAAGTGTTGTCGAGGACATGGGGTGGACAGTCTGCCTTGTAAATCTTTTCCCTGAAAGGGGGTGTGGGGGGCCATTTTGACGATTCTTGTTTACTATTTTTATTAACTATTGACTATAATGGCAAAATTATTAGTTTCTCCTTAAGATTTACAGAACACCACTTTGCCATGCCTATTGCCATCCTGGAATCAATCTATTAGAAAAGTAATGATAATAATTCCTGATATTTCCATACAACGTGTCTAAGTTTTAGCCAATGGAATGTCAGCAGAGGTGACGTGTATCATTTCCGAACCAAGACTTTTAAAAAATGGGAGCGTCCCCTCTACACTCTCTCTCCTTATGCTGATGGGATAAGAAGACAATAAGGCTCTAGAGGACGGTGAAACCCAATACTTTAGACTTGGATACAGCGGAGGTCACAGGGCCAAAGGGACGTGCCCACCAGAGTCCACACTCCCCCTTCTAGAGCACTCTCCAGGTGACTGAAAGTTCCTTTCCATGGCCTGTGTGAACCCCTTCCTCAGCTGCGCTCCTTACAGGGAGACCATCCATCAGAGTGTGCACCCCAACCCCAAGGGATGGCCAAGACGTGGCTGTCTGCAGGGGTGTCAATGGCGCTTGAACCAGGGCATCCTCACCTGTACACATGAGGCTCCCTGAGGCGAGAGACAGCTGGAGACAACGGGAGGAGAGCAGGCAGGAGGGTGGTGTGGAAATTTGAGGAGTTTGAGAATTCTAAATGGGAACCCTGCTTTCTAGGTCATTATGAAAGTATATTTGTCAAGGTAGGCTGACAAAATATATTTTCTTTAACAAGCGGTTTCACAAGTCCTTTAACTTTTAAATATTTGGTATGCGTAGGTTGCCTGGTAATATATAGGATGTCTTGGGTCTGGCCCCATGGCCGAAGTTAAAGTTAAAGTTCCACGTGCTCCACTTTGGCAGCTCAGGTTTGTGGGTTCGGATCCCAGGCGTGGACCTACACCACTCATCAGGCCATGCTGTGGAGGCATCCCACATCAAAAAATAGAGGAAGATTAGTCCAGATGTTAGCTCAGGGTGAATCTTCCTCACCAAAAAAAAAAAAAAGTCTAGTTAAATTTAAATTCCAGATAAACAATGAATATTTTCTTAGTGTAAGTCTGTGTCCCAAATATTGCATGGGACCTATTTATACTAAAACAGTATTCACCATTTATCTAAAGTTAAAATTTAACTAGTCACCCTGTAATTTTATTTGCTGAATCTCACAACCCCAGTATGGATCTCCATTTGTATTCTTGCCAGAGGCCTGTGAACTTTAGGCTGGGTCTAGTGAAGCCACAAGATGGACAGAGCCTGGCTCCTGGCTCCCTAAAGGCAGGAAAGCTGCCTGCTGACCAAGCGCCCCCATCTTGGGCTGTTCTAGGAGTGAGGATAATAACTCTTACCAGTTTTGACTCAGACATTTTAGGACTGTTTATTATAGCATCCAGTAACCATCATTACTAAGCCAAGAAAAAATTCTGCATTCCTTACTATGAATACTACAAAAATCTCCAGGCTGAAGGAAGAAAGCAGCGCTTGTGGGAGCAGTGTGCCAACAGAGGGAAATGCACCCTCCAGGGACCAAGCCTCCTTTCCAGTAACATCAGTCCCTTGGGGCTCTTTGCTTAGGGGCCTGGGGCTGTTTCACAGCTGAGACCTGTGATGGAACTGGCCAGAGTAGAATCTCTCTCTACCACCATAACTTCCAGGGGCCATGCTGCCCTGCAATAGTTTTTAATAATAATAACAAATATATACATATAACATAAAAATGCATATAAAAATAAAATGTCACCCACATTATATATGCATATATGTACACATGCATAAAATGGCAGCTAACATTTATTGAGAGCTTATTATGTACTAGGTATGCTGTGACTGGTTTCACATGAATTGTCTCATTTAATTCTTTTAATAATCCTATGAAGTAGGTTTTATTATTATTCTCATTTCATAGATAAGGCAATTGAGGCAAGACAGGTCCAAAATCGTACAGCTATTGAGTGGTATTTGATAATATGATGTCTGACCCTAAATCCAGCTTTTATAGGGAAAAATTCGTGCTTGAGTAGAAAACTGTATTTTCTAGAGAGCAACTTACCAGATTTTCAGATTCTGCTTTCATGGGAGCAATTTTACAACTATATAAATTGTAGCTAGCTGATAGCAGCGTGAAATGATTCTTGTCCATAGACATGAGAATGACTTTTGTCCAGTGGAGGGACCATTTCCCCTCCTGTGGAAAAGCCAGGTTGTGTCCATTCGTACTTTCATCTCAAATTGCTTTACTCCATATAAATTTACGCTTTGACTTTCCCTTTGAACTGGTTATAACATCTGTCTCATTCCTTCATTTAATTAATGAGCTAAATAAATTCTTTAATTCATGTTCATTTTGTATCTGAGTCATGATTTTGCTTTTGAAAAAAATTATCCTTTAACAGTTTAACCATAAGACTGTCAATGATGGCTCACAGATAAACAGAAAAGGGAATAAATATAGATAGTAATATAGAACTTGATAATCTTGGGTGTGTGCTGTGTGTGTGTCTCCATCCTGTGTGGCTCTTGGTTGCTTATATGGCAGAGGTCATCTGTCCCTGATGAGGTGGGCATCAAGAATGTCTCAATCTCCTCAAAGTCCAAATATAAGAAGGCATGGCCTAGAGAGAGTCAAAAATCACTTTTCTAGGGTCCAGCCCAGTGGCATAGTGGTTAAGTTCACACACTCTGCTTAAGTGGCCTGGGGTTCACAGGTTCAGATCCTGGGCACGGACATACACACCCCTCATCAAGCCACGCAGTGGCGGTGTCCCACATACAAAATAGAGGAAGATTGTCACAGATGTTAGCTTAAGGCCAATCTTCCTCACCAAAAAAAAAAAAAAAAAAAAAAATCACTTTTCCATTCTAAGGCTCACTTCCAAGGTCAACTTCCTGTCTGAGGACCTGCCTCTCCCCAGTGAATGTCACTGGGATGGCCTAGAGCCTCTCACAAGAGGTTCAGAGGGTATTGTCCTGTGGCCTCCGTTGGAAAAACAGCCCTGAGTACAGTCAGCTTGACATCCACACAAAATTGCCATATATACAATTAAATAAGTTAACAGTTTTAAAGTGCTTAGAACAGTGACTCTGTAAGTGTTTGCTAAATAAAGACACACACACACTCACCACGTAGATTCTTAAAATAGAAATCCCCAAACCCTGATGATTTCTGCTCTTCATGTTTTGTTTCTCGAGATCACAGTGGGGAGTGCGAATGTGCAGGGTTGTTAGGTAATTCCCAGGTTTCTGTTCAGGAGCATTCCCAAATAGAACTTGAACGCCCGGTGAGATAACCCTGCCCTTTGTGACCCAGGCTTTCTAAGAAATGGGTGAAAAATAACTATATAACCCATAAAGCTAAATATATTAGAACCCTACAGTCTGAAAAAAACATCAGCTGCTTTGTTTTCACTGCGTAGGAATGAAGATGTGGTCTGTAGGGCATCTCTGACCTGGTACTACGTCAGCAAAGGGAGGCACAGGGCCAGGAGCCTGACAGCAGAGTTTCTGAGCAGCCTTCTGCACCATGCGGGGGGGTAGTGATGACTCTCCTCGTGCTGGCCCTCTTGGGGCTGGGGAGGGGTAAGAGCTTGGCGCAGGACAGAGAGGACATAATATGGAGCATGAGGGGGTCATCAGGCTGTACAGTATTTGTGACCTTAGCACAATAATTATGAAGCTCTAAAAATGCGATATTTTAATGAAGATTTTCCAGTTTCTTTCATGTTTAAAAAAGCGTATTAGTGGACATGCTATTTCCAACACCCAGCGCAGACGTACCTTGCTTTCACTTTCATTGGACAGAATTTCCAGGGCTTCCAGGTGTGACAAACCTTGGTACTCATCAAACAGCATCCCGTAGTGCGCAGTCCTCTCGGCCGTGAGCTGCTGCGCCAGTCTCTGCTTCTCTTTCTCTTTGGCTTCCCTCAACATCTGCAGAAACACACAGTGTTTGTGCACTAGATGTACGCTTGAAAGCCCCACTGCCTGCGTAAGATGGAAGGGTAGCACACGAGGACCGACTTTATATTTGAGAAGGGCAGGTTTTAGTCACTTTGGAATTTCTAAAAAAAAAATTTATTTGACTGATAGTTTTTACGTAATATTCCACTTTTTTGTGTGTTCATTTTATACATGACAAAACAAAGCAAAAATTCTATGCCCAGGAACAGAATTGGAAAGAAGCACAACAAACGCTTAACAGTGGTTTCCACTAAAGTGTTTGTCGTGTGTGATTAATTTTCTTGTTTTCTAAAATGTCCAAACTTTCTATAATGAACAAATTTTATGTACACTTGGAAAACTTAATCTACTGTGACAGGATTAATTGCAACTTCTGCGCCCAAGCAGACTTCAAAGCAGTAGTAAGCTGATCTGATTTAATATGAATTATATTATTTAAAAAATTTTATATGTGTGGTTATTAAAATCTTTGATGAAAAAATTAGTAAAATGTAAACTCCTAATGTTTTCTTCACCAGGTAGTGAATATAAATAAGAACGTTAGCTTATCAATTCCTAGATTGGTCTCAAGAAGTATGACTATGAACTGAGTTTCTCTCCAGGTGGATAATTTTTCTCCAGTTATTTTTTTCAGTGAATAATAAAAAGACAACAAAATACACACATGTCCACCAGTTACTCCCAATTTCCTATCCTCGCTGTCTTTGATTCTAAACCTCTTTTATTGGATTCCTAAATTAAATTTACTGGGCATTAAGTTTATAGGGTTCTTTAATAGCTTGAAGAGCACCATAAATACACTGGCCACCACAAGGTCACAACGGGAAGGTCATGGAAGAACAGATTCTGGTTTTTATTGTGTCAATAAAACAATCAACCTCATTCTCCTTTTGGGTTCTTGAGGTTATCAGCCCAAAACCCACTGGACCGCAGACAGAATTCGCCCTCCTGCCTGTCTTTAAAACGAGATAAGTACAAGCTCTGAATTCTAAAGTTTTCAAGACAACCCCAGCAAATCATCACTGGGAATTTTCAACACTTACAATAAAACCCAACCACCCCCACTGGTCTCACTGGCTTGGTGGTGGTAAAAGAAAATAACAAAGTGACATGGAAATTGCTTCCTTTCTCTACACCAACTTCCATCTCTAAATCTGTACTTTGGAATAGAGAGGAAAAGGCAAGAATTGGAAGGGAAAGGGGAAGTGTCACTCTGGAATGATCAGGATTCACTCAGGAAATGGAAAGTGAAATTAAAGTTGCCTAAAGAAGAACTGGCTTGACACAGGGTGTTGGCTCTATTTTCCCTCTGGAAAAGAAAAGATGGTTTTAAACAGCAAGGAGTGATTCTGGCCTGAAGACTTCCTAGCGGACGGGCAGCTCTGGAGACAGACCCATGGGACTGGAGAACCACCGTGTCTCCGCGTTATTCAGGTGTCCGGGTACCACTGGGATAGAATACGGGAGAAATTTAGGGAGTGTGTGGACGAACGTTTCTGATTTCTATAGTTATTTAGTGCGGATTAGGAAAAACACAGCAGACTCCTCTATCTCAGTCGATGGCCGCGTCATCCTTCCAGCTGCTCAGGCCAAAAACTTTGGGGTCATCCCTGCCTCCTCCTTTTATCTCATACCCCACATTCCATCCCTCCGGAAACCTGGATCGACCTTCTAACTATACCCAGAATCAGCGTTCGCCGCTACCTTCATGGCTCCACGCGCCTCTGAGCCACCGTTCCCTCTTGTTTAGGTAACGGCAGTGGCCTCCCGAGGTGGCTGTGAGAGCAGAGCATAAATGACCGAAGGCCCAGGTGCTGCACTTTGAAATCCCTCACTGACCTGGAGGTCAGGCCTCCCACGACCTGTCCCTACTCGTCACCGGAGCAGCAGGGACACTAGGGCAGACCTGTTCCCGGGAGACAGGAGCTCCTTTGTCAGAGGACTTTGGCTGGAGGACCCTTCCGTGGCTTTGCCCAACTTTCCTTAGAGAGCACAGCAGTCTAGGACGCTTCCACCCTACCTTCTCTCCCCCTCACCTTCACTGGGGTCAGACTTGCACCTTGGCCTGATGGCCCTGCCAGCCTTCCCGGGTATCCCCTGCCCACTTTCTCCCACTCAGGCATTTCCCCTAATAAAATCTTCACGTGCTTAAGCCCACTTGGCATCTGCTTCTGGGAGGACACACCCTGATACACACACTAACTGGTTTCCCTGCCTGTGGCCCTCCCTGCTACCCAGTCTATTTTCAACACAGTAATGAGGCTGATCCTTTCAAAGCGAGATCTCGTCATTCCTCTTTTCAAAATGCTGCAATGGTTTCCTCATTTCACTAACAGTAAAACCCAAGGTCCTTACAAATGCCCTCGATGATCTGCCATCACCTGCTCCCCATTACCTCTCTGGCCCCATTTTGAACAACTCTCATCCTGGCTCACTCCTCTTCCACCACGTACCATCCCTGCTGCTCCTTGTTCATAACAGATACTCCTGCCTCAGGGCCTTAGCACAAGCTGCTCTTTCTGCATGGAATGTGCTGTACTCAGATTTTCGCATGGTCAAGCCCCTCATCTCCTTCAAATATTTGCTCAAATGTCATCATCTCCATGAGGCCACCCCCTCACAATCCAATTTAATACTTAACCTGCCCCTCACTCCCACACTCCTGATTATGCTCTTCCTGCTCTAGTTTCTCTTTTTTTCCACAGCACTCATCATCTTCTAAAATACTAGATAATGTTGATTATTGTTTCTCTCTCCTCACTGGAATGAAATCTCCTTAAGGACAGGGATTTTTATCCATTTTGGCTACTGATGTATCTCAAGATCTTGGAACAGTGTCTGGCACATAGTGGACATTCAAAACGCATTTGTGGAATGAATGAATGAACAAATGAATGAATGAAAAATTACCGTTTGGAGGGAGGTTAAGGTCAGTAGTGTTGTGGAGATCCAGCTTAAGCCAGCCAAGTGGATTGCAAGTGCAAGGCTCAAGTGTGCCCCAGAATGTTGTGTAGCACACTTTCCGCATGTGTTTCAGACGTGTAAGTAGAACAAACACCGCACATGGCCAGTGTGGATTCTTGGATGACACATTTCTCTGAGCATTGCTACTTACTTTTTAGCAGTAGATTGAACGCAAATCTGATAAAAATTGTGAAAGTGGCACAAAAACTACAGTAATCTGGGAAACTGACCAGGTCCAACTCTTCATTTTACACGTGTGTAAACTTAAGCCAAAGAAGCCAATAGAGTTAGCCAGTTTCTGTACTTGGTCACACTTCCCCCCACGTTACCACCTTCTTAACTAGAATCAAATTTATATAGACATATATTTCTGTAATGAATGAACGAATGAACGAATGAATGAATGAATGAAAAATTCATATATGTTTTCACGTATGTACATGTATCTATATAATTTATAAATATATACATAATCTTGTGGCAAAAATACTCCTATGTGCTCACCAAATATCCTTTTCCTTCTACACACACAACTGAACTGTGTTTCTCAGCCTGCCTGAGTTGAATTCGGTGAACTATATGAGAGTTTTGGCCAAAGGAATGAGGGTAATAGTGACATATGCCACTTCCAGGGTTAGTCCTAAATTGTCCCATATGGCCCTCTGCATATTTCCTTCCCCTTTCTATGAGGCTGAAAGTAAAGGTTTTCAGGATGTCAGAGACACAAAATGTGGGCTCAGAAGAGAGCTGCCCAGCAGGGGCCCCTGAACAGGAACATTCACACTATACAAGCAAAAGGTAAATCTTTTTTGTTCTAAGCCACGTTAATACTTGAGGGTTGGGTTTTGTTGTTGTTGGTTTTTTTTTTTTTTCTTTTTACAACATCTAGTATTAATTATCTGATTAATACCAATCTGTTTTCTTTTTTAAAGATCAGTATGGTGATGGTGCAGATGACCACGCCTGGGCTGTAATATCAGAGTGGTTATTTGCGGATTATTCTGGAAGAGAGGAAGAAATAGCTTAAAAGAAAAGCTTTTCAGGAACTGCCACTCACATGTTGTCAGTGACAGCTCCCTCATGGCTTCCCAGGACCCAGGCATGAGAAGCTATGTTTGTCTTGCCTGTGAAATTTACAAAATCCGCTGCTACCTCAGCTGATCCTGATTTCAGTAGGGCACAGCGAGACCTGGTGTATCGGACACTTAAGGAGGAAGGGGACAAAGGGCCTTCTTGCACTGAGGGATATGAGCTTGGCATGTCCCATCTGAAAGAGCAAGTTCAATATTAGAGTTTTCTATTTGGAAAATAAGATAAATATTATTTTTAATTTTCTTCACTACTGTAAGTAAGCAACACATAGATTAAACTCTTCATATTGCATTTTTCAAGGAGGGTTGGAAAACCTTAAAGCTGGAAGTATGAGAGGAGAAGCCCATCTTTGCACAGAGTAAGGGAAATATAAATCAAAATTTCAATGAGATAACATTTCTGCCTGTTATATTGATACATAATAATGACAACAACACCTACCCTTCCTGAGTGCTCACTATGAGTCAGGTTCTATTCCAACTCATTTAATTCTCACAACAGAGCTATCAGTAATCTCAAAACAAAACATCAGTATTGATGTTACTCCCGGTGTACAGATGAGTAAACTGAGGCACAGAAAGGTTAAGTAACCTGCTCAAGGTCATGCAGCTAGAAAGTGGTAGAGCTGGAATATATGCAATGGGACTATGGACTGAATGCTGTGTCCCCCCCAAATTCACATATTGAAACCTACTCCCCAGTGTAACGGTATTTGAAGGTGGGGCCTTTGAAAGGCGATCAGATTCTGAGGGTGGAGCCCTCATGAATGGGATTAGTGCCCTTATAAAAGATGCCCCAGAGAGCTCCCTTCCACCATGTGAGGGCATGGGCAAAAGATGGTTATCTATGAACCAGGAAGCGGGTCCTCACTAGACACTGAATCTGCCGGCACCTTGATCTTGGACTTCCCAGTCTCCAGAACTATGAGAAATAAATGTTTGTTGTTTACAAACCACGCCATCTATGGTATTCTGTTATAGCAGCCCAAATGGAGTAAGACAAATGGCATAAATGGAACAATCTTCAAGAAATTATTAAGTGAATAAAGCAAGGTACAAAAGAGTGTGGTTAATATGCTACCATTTGGTTGAAAAAGTATATACATATATATGTGCATATGTGTATATACATACGCATATATGTATGGCTACCTATATTTATAGCTCTATGATAATTCTGACAGAATCCATAAGGAGCTGTTAACAGTGGTTGTTTCCCATGAGGAACTAAGTGGCGGAAGAAAGAAGTGATTTAGAAACTCAATTTTCACTCTCTACTATTTTGTGTCATGTGCTTTAAAATACCTAATAAAAATGTATTAACTTTATTGACTGAAAGAAAAAATTGCAAAAGTATATAACCCCACCTGAGACAAGGACACAGTTCTCTCCATGAGTGTCTTGGTGCGCTTAAAGCCTGGGTCGCTCTCTGCAAGGACGTTCATGGTTTTCTTGCCGATGAATTCCAGAGCATCGAGACCTCCCGTTAAGACACTTTTACCCTACACATGAGGTAATTGCACGAAATTAGATTTTCATGTTTTGCTGTTTCGTAGCAGTCAGCAACTCCTAGATGGCGCTATCTTCAAATATTAAAATCAATATAAAGTCACGATATTTATCTCATCTGGGGATTTATCATCCATGTAATCCTATTTTCTTTTCCTTGGAAGAGCATATGCCGCATAATTTGTGGGACACACAATGTTATTAAAAAAGGATGCTTAGGAAAAACCAAAGCATATGTGGGATTAGTTTTACTGGCTCTGTGTGTACAAATAGATATGTATCTAGGACATAAAATTAATGGGTGACCCAATTTTGCTGTTTTTGCCTGAAAAAATTTTAACAGAATTATTTGGAGTAGTCTATTAAAATGTAACAGAACTATTTGGAGCAGTCTATTAAAATGTCAACTACTCTTGCCAATTTGGGGAATTCTTTAATCGAGGGCCCTGGAGTATAGGACCCTCAGGCTGTTTCAGCTGGTTCTTGCACACTTTCAGAAAGTCGAAATAACCGCCTATAATTAGTATCTTCATGAAATAAGACAAGTTGATTTCCATATACTACGAGCTTTAGAAACGGTTCTATCACACAGTTGTCCTCCTGCAAATCCCTTTGTTTTCCTTTAAAACAAAAAGATGAAAACAACTAAGACGTCCTCACATAAAGTACTCATATAAACAGAACTGCTGACGTTGCTTTGAAACCTCTTCTGTACATACATTCAAATACACAATTCCAGTTACAATATGCACACACCCATGTTTTTTCCCACCTTACACGAATTCATGTTATATTTTATATTTATTATTGCCTATATTCACTTTCCGATCTTCATAACTCTCACTTCAATAGGAATATTTGATTTCACTGAATTAGTATAATTCATTAGCCATTTCCACCTTGCACATTTAGACTTTGTGTTCAGATTTGGAAGCCAATCAATAATACACCATAAAACAGATTTTAAAATACACATACTTTGGGTGGACAATGGAATATCAGTTATCGCACTTTTGCATAGTTTGATTTATTTTCTCCTAACATCCTGTGAGGGATTACTTCAGTGGAGAATAAAATAGGAGAAGAAAGGACATAAGGACTTTGAGTAAGGGAAGACCTGGTGGGCATGTCTGGAGCTTGGGAAAAGGGAGGACCAGAAGGTTGGAGAAAACATAGAAAGGGATGCGAGGATGCTGAAGACAAACTCAGAGTGCCCTGCGTTGCAGCCCAGGGAGACCACGCATTCATTTCCCAAACCAGAGATGTTGAAAGAGCTCCCTCCCATCCGAACCCTACAAACTCCCCCGTGGGCACACTAGACTTGTATTGCTGCTTGACTTCTAAAACATACTTGCTGCTCCTCCTTCATCCTACTTAGCCCAGAGGTCTTCAAGTGGCAAGGAGAGGAGCCATCATTTCCTATTTCTGGCATGCCCTGACCCCAAAGTCTGGGTAAGATACCCCGATATGTGTGTCCACAGACCCTTCTTCCTCCCACATTACACTGTATTTGCCTGTGGAGTTGTCTCTGTCTTTCAGGATATTATGCCCTCTGGCTTGTCAGCATATGCCCAACATCCAGTATAGTCCTGGCACGTAGTGAGAGCTAATCACCTTTTTTGTTCTAACGCATGAATAAATAAATTGGATGAACCACATTTCTAGAGAAACTAGTTAATTGGTTTTACGTAGCAGAAGATAAATCTTTTCTTCCTGAAGATCAGCTAGCTGCCTCATCTCAGTTGGGGTGCCTCCCCCTTTTTTCTTTTTTTTTTTTTTTTAAAAGATTTTATTTTTCCTTTTTCTCCCCAAAGCCCCCTGGTACATAGTTATGTAGCTTTAGTTGTGGGTCCTTCTGGTTGTGGCTTTGGGACGCCGCCTCAGCATGGCCTGATGAGCGGTGCCATGTCCGCGCCCAGGATCCGAACCAGCGAAACCCTGGGCCGCAGAAGTGGAGCGCGTGAACTTAACCACTCGGCCTTAACCACTCGGCCACGGGGCCGGTCCCTCCCCCTTTGTTCATTATTCATCAGTGTTTTGTTGCCAATAACAAGCCTCTTTAAGAGTCAGGCAGGGGCTGGGGGTGGGGGTGGGGCCAGGGCAGTATTTAGGATTAGTCAAGGAAGGGGCAGAGTGGGAATTGGGAAGTAGGGATGGGAAAGAATGTTGGTCTTAGTTACCAGGAAACACTTTAGAAACATCTCCGGGATGTTGTTTCTGATTCCTTACTGGTATTTTTTTTTTTTTGTTTGAATGGCTTTATAATTTTTCAAATTGAAGGTTAAGAGACACAGACCATCTTAGGAAAAACAGCTGTCCCAGCTCTAAGAAAGAACTCTTTCTCCCCACAGCCGGAGGCTGTCCTTTCAGCAATTGGAAAGGACACTGCCTCATTAGACTGAAAAATGTTCCTTCTAAGCAGCTCCTTTCTTTTAAACATAATATATATTTCATTTCACCCTTATTATTTTAGTTCCAAGGTTACGCCTACTCTGTAGGAGAAAGCGTAACAAAACCACGATCCCAAGTGGTGAGCACAGCCACCTCGTCTCTGATGTATCTAGGTCACTGGTACATAGAGATATCAAAAGAAGGCACTGGAAGACACCAGGGAAAACAGAGGAAGCAGCTGATGACTTACTGTGTTTTGAACCACGCTGGTGATGGCTGACAGCACGCCCCGAGACCCTGAGGAAGGAGAAGCAGGTGGGCTTTCTGCGGGGCTCTCATCTGTGGCTGCATCTGCTACCAAAGAGAAAAAACCCTTTTAGAGTTCACTGTGCTGACCTAAACTTGATAATCTTCTATTTGTGCACATAGTGTAACACAGCCCAAGTCCAAGAAACCCCCAAAGTAAATATATTACTCACTTTGAGGGACTCCATTTTCGGTATCAGTTTGGGCCCCTTCAGAAGAGCTGGAATTTACACTATGAATCCGCAGGGTGGCCCCTGCTTTTTCCTTGACTGCTGTCAATCCATGACCTGTCAGGAAATAAAAATGCGGTTCATAGATACAATTCAATCGCTCATCTTCCAGAGCTGTTGTCAGCTGTAGGTGTATATCCTGACTGGGAGAAAGTGTGGCGGTTAACAGAACTTCCACAGTGTGGTTCCAATCTGAGCTCAGCTTCACCACTGCCTAGTCAGGTGACTTTGGAGAAGTCATCTGACCCGTCAGTCACTCAGCTTCTTCATTGGGTTGTTGTGAGCAGCAAGGAAATAAACATATGTAAAGAGCTCCCAGATATTTTATTATTCCCTTTTGTTTCTCACACCATCTAACTAGCAACCTGGAGTGTCAAACCCAAGATATTATCTGTGAATAGTGTCCTTGTCTGATCCTCTTTACTCTTTTCTAAGCTGCTCAAAGCACCTTTGCATCATTCATTTTTTTGATTCCTTGCAGGCCTAGCCCATTGTGGGTGCTCCATGACTATTTGTTGAACTGAAATCAGTCGAGCCTCAACATACTCTTTCAAAGTTAGTCATTCCTTTAGCATGCAGAGCGCAGAGTCTGGAGCTGATGTGTCAAACTCAAAAGACAAGTCAGTGGGAAAACCAGGAAGGGCATCCAACAGCTCTGACGGTTGTCTTAAGCAGTACAGTCCAAACACAAGCTACAACAGTGGTCAGCCAGGTGAAGGGCACTGGTTTTACTCCATCTGAGTGGGGACAATACCCATACTCCCCAGAGCCCAGCACAGTGGGTATTCAATACAGAGTCAACCTTCTCATTCCTGCACCCCCACCTCCACCCCAACACAGAGAGACCACCCTTGGCCTGATAGAGAAATAGTCTTGCCTACATTTTATTTTGGAGAGTTTTTTTTTCTCCGTAGAGGCCCCCATGATGAGCTATAATAGCCTCTCTCAGATTTCCCAAACTGAAAGTATAAATTAACGGTCCTCAGTGCTGTTTGAGTTCTTGAAGGAGAAATAGCATGAGCTGCCATCCTCATGGTACTCATCTCCCCCTTAGCAATCAGGGAGAAAATGAAAGATTTCACTAGGGACCTGGGCAGCTTCAGGTTGTTAAATCCAAAGGCAGTAGCAATATTAATATGTGGGGAAAAAAGTCCCACATCATGGCAGGATTGAGAGCCAAAGAGAAGCACCTAGTCGCAGAAGGCATGTTAAAATTACCAGTTGTCCATCTCCCAAATAAGAGAAAGACATGGATGAATCCCAAACCCAAATAGTAGTATTTTATCAGTTGTGACTTTACTTATCAGAGCAATGTTTTTTTTTTTTTTTCCAAAGTCACGACTTTTATTTTGGAAAACAAGCAAAAGAAAATGCAGCCTGGAATCTTCAAACGAGGAGAAAAACCCCATTCAGTGCGACCTCAGGTAAATTTTTTGACTTTGGTTTCCTTGTCTGCAAAGTGGGTTAGCTGTACAATCTCCCGGATCCGTGCTGAGGGTGAAGTGGGGAGCACACGCTGGGGCCCTGTGGGTGGCATCTGTGTTGGTTTTATTTAGTGCTGACTTGGAGGTTCTTGGGGGGGTTCTCAGGGGGTGAGTCTGGAAGCCACCCTTGCATTGCACTTCCTGTAGATCAGAAAACGTCCTTCTTTAAGACTGACCGTGGGATGAGACACCCGTGAAGATTTTGAGAGCCTCAGACTTCCTTTTGTTTCCGCTGCTGTTGCTGTTTAAACCTCTCTGAGCCTGTGGTTCCTCATGTGAAGTAAAAGGACTTCCTTGCGGGAGTTCAAGGAGAACACCCCCAGGCGTGGCTGTGGCACTCTCCCAACTCAGAGCAGGAACTTGCCAAGGTGGCTGGTCCTGATGCTGCTAGGACCAACGTTGTTATGACGCCTCTCCTCGTGCAGCCTGGGCAGCCCCGCAGGGCTTCTGGACGTGCAGAGGCAGGGTGTGTAGAAGCAAGCCGGTGAAGGGCCCCTCTTATCAGAGCAATCTTAACATAATCAGGGCACTGATATTTACCAAATAGACATAAGGCTAATTATGTCCAGTGGGAATCACCTGTCATTATACACTATCTAGAAAACAATGAAACTTAAGAAACATTATTTATAACATTTACAACACTAATTGCATACAGAAATATGTCCATATTCATGTGCAGATCATTAGACACAGTTCAGATTCTTTATTGAGTTATTTGGAAAAAAAGATGCACTGGAACTGCAAAAGCTAAGTCTTGAATTAATTCTCTCTCGCTTCCAACGAATTCCAAGCATTTCGATGGAAACTTAGTGGAGTTTCAGTAACACATTTAAGTTAGGATATAATCATCTAACTTATTTATACACCGAGCCCATATTCCTTGCCATCTTTTAAAAACATGTTTTCCAAAAGGAAATAATGTACATCCAAATCTCAGCTAAGATCCTCATCTAGATTTCTGAGGGCTCCAACAAGGAATAAACGAGTTTGAGAGGGCTGGGAGGCATCTGCCACATCTACTCTGCATAAGCCATACGAGAAAGATGGTTCCACATCCTTCTCTGAGACCACTCAAGGTTTAATGAACCTCACTGTCATTATCTCCTCTTTCCCCTTCTACACCCCTTGCAGCTGAGGGATGTCTGATTCTTTTCCCAGAGAAGAACAGCCTCTCACCATCTCAGAACACAAATGATCACGGACATGTATGCAAAAGCTCCCTCTAGGAAAATTACGTTGTTTCTGGAAGAAAATACCATTTTTATGTGCATATAAATGGGATGTGTCTGTTTAACAGACATGACAATAGGCTGCAACTCCAACTACACACACACACACACACACACATTAATAGCTTTACTGAGGTATAAGTGATATACAAAGAATTGCACATACTTAAGGTTTCTCCAGTTATATTTTCTGCTTAACAATTCTCTTTTGTGAATTCTTTTGTTAGTGAAAGTCCATCTTTACTGCATTCTACTAGAAACACAAAGCTATGGTTTTCCACAGCTAAGGTTTAGACTCTATGCCACACCCTACTTTGAAGAATAACTTTTAAAACTTTACTTAGTGTGACATCTAGTGCCCAGAATAAGGAAGTAATAAAATGGGGTCATTGTTGCCTTTTGAGTGGGAGTGATTCATTCTCAGAGATATTGACTGGGTTCTACCAATAACAGAGAAAAACAACAAATATGAATAATACTATAGGGTATAGTTCACGGATTCATTCCTTCACATGTCAGGATGAACCCTAACCATCCTCAAAGAAGTGAAACTCCTCCAAATTCCATAGTTCTAAAGATGGAATATCCTTTAACTTTTGACTTAGTACAGTAAAAAGAAGGTGAGTATTACAAAGACAAGAATGTTGTATAAATGCTGTGATACTGCGTCATTTTAAGACAAATGTTAAATGACTGGCTGGTGTTTATTTATTTTCTTTGCTGAGGAAGATTCGCCCTGAGCTAACACCCATGCCAGTCTTCTTCTATTTTTTTAGTATGTGGGCCACCAGCACAGAATGACCTCTAACAGAGCAGTGTAGGTCTGTGCCTGGGAATCAAACCCAGACCGCTGAAGTGGAGTGAGCTGAACTTAACCACTAGGCCACTGGGGCTGGCCTGGCTAGTGTTTAATTTATCACATATACTCTAGTGGAAAACTCTAAACTTAGGAGTCAGGAGTCTTCTGAAGGAATTTTGGTTCCACTATTTATTAGCTGTGCAATCTTGACGAATTACTTAACCTCTCTGAGTCTCTGCTCTTGTGTTTTCTCTGAAAGGAAGGTTATAACATCTATCTCCTAGGGTTTTATAAGGTCACTGAAGAGAAATACGTGAAAGCCTTGGTACTGGCTTTCACATTTACTGAGCACTTACTATGTCCCAGGCACTGGACTAAATGTTTTTAGTACAGTAAATTATCTCATATAATCTTCTCATTATGAAGTAAGGGATATTATTATACCCATTTCACAACTGAGGAAACTGAGACCTGGTGATGTGAAATCCCTTGCCCAAGGTCCCAAAGCCAATAAGTGGCAGAGGCAGGATTCAAGCCCAGTCCTTCTGACTCTAGAACTCACACACTCAATCACTATGTCATATTAAGAAAGTTTTATATGTGATTTATAGTTGATTAAATGTCAATTTAGTCTCATTTCTATAACTCCTTGGAAATCAAATCCTTGATCAGGACCTTCCTCATTTTTAAAAGACTGGTTTATGCTAAAATTAGGTTGACTTACCCTACCTTGACCAAACAGCAAGGTGAAGGAAGGTCACTGCAGTGAAACCTTCTCTAATCCTACCCCTGCTAGCCATGCCTTGGGTTGACATAGCTTGATGTTTTTAGGATCATCTCTGTGCTGTGGGGCACAGATCCTAAGACACTGTGCTATCTTATACCTCCAGTTTAATTTTTTTCTCAAAAAGCACTGTGATTTCACCAAGCCTCTTCTTGTGAGTTCCACCAAGACCAAAATCCCATTGAAGGGAGGGCTCCCTTCTTTCTGAAAGATGAAAATCATTTGTGGGAGGGTCTCTCTGATGGAGTGGTAACTTAGGGGAGCAACAGCAGTTCTGGGCAGCACCCTGGATGATTAGGTAGCTCTACCGTACTTTCTAGTTGTCTCATATGGTAAAGGACTCCTAACTGGGGCACCAGCTAACTCACTCAGAGGGTTCCCCCTTTTAGATTGCTTTAATTTTTAACATAACCTTTCCTTCTTCATTTTCTTTCTTTCTTTATTTTTCTTTTTAAAAAATGGATATATAAAAAAGAATCTTGGGGATCTTGCCAAGATGGCAGCGTAAGCAGACTCTGAATTCATCTCCTCCCACGAACACAACCAGATTACAACTATTTTTGGAAAAATTAACCTGGATAGAGAACTGAAGATTGGATAAAAAGAACCCACACAACAAGGGACAGTCCTGACTAAGGCAGAGGAGGCAGAAAAATTCCTGCTGGAGAGGAAAAAAACCCATGTTTGAGAGCAACAGAGCTTCTCAGCTGGCCAGGCGGGAGACACCCTAAGGTATGCAGCCCTCCCTGGAGGAGTGA